TGGTGTGCATGTGGTTTTCAGGCAATCACTTCAGGAAGGTGGTGACCTCATGAGCTTTCAGACCATATCCTGGAACATGCTTAAATCATTCCTTACTAATAGTGGCTCATTCTGTTTTAACAAGTGAACTAGATCCAGCAACAAAATGTTACAGATTGTAAAGGGGATATTATTGCCTTCTATACAAACAGCTTGCTTTTCCTGTAGTTTTAACTGCTGTGTGTTGATGAACAGAGACTCAACAGAGCTGTTGCTTTATAGAGCTACTGTTTAAAATTAAAGTCTTTATTGAAGCTGAAAGGGCTACTGTACTTAACTTGGTATGGCTTCAACATGTGTTTGTGTTCATGGAGACCCCCAGATGTGCAAGCACAGCCATCATTTAATACAGCTACAGTATTAGCCTTGCAGGAGACAGGATCACTCTACCACAAGAACTACAATATTTTTTTAAAAACAACAACAACAACAACAACGACAACGACAACAACAACATAGCACCCCATCCTATTAATCCCAAAGTGTTTTGTGAACAATAAGCAGGAATAGTTTTGCTTAAAGGAGTTGCTCTTACTATATGGTGCTGGAAGAAAAAGCATGATCCCCGCTTCTATTATTTTTGTTGCTTTCATTCTCTGGCCAATATGACAACATGACTGCAAAACAAATACACCTTTCTGAATATGCAGCCTCTTCTGGGATTGCAGTTCCTCTGCAAAGTACCCCATTTGTTTTTTTAAAAAGTCATCTCAAGATTTTTGATGCTTTAAAAGTCGAATAGGAACCTGTTGGGAAATTTTCTCTGCAGAATGTCTTTGATAACTCCTGCCTAGAGAGGATGGCAGACAGTGTTGCATTCTCAAGAAGCCATGATGATAAGGATTCTAGATATTAAAATTTGAGAATTGTTATGCTGTACTGTTAAAGTGCATTGCACTCTGGAGTAGGAAAAGAAGAAAGAGACTTCTTACCAGCAAGTTAATAATACAACCCCTCTTTGCGTCATTGAGCCATTAATAAATATAGCTGTATTGTTCTGTGGTTTCCTTGGTGTACCTGAATCCCCTGGATATATTTCAGTATGTTGTTTGCCTATTCTTTTTCCTGTTTCCTGTTGGATGTTTACAGTAATCCTTTCCAGCCAGTGTATCTCAGATAGTGAGCTGGGACCCACCAGTGCCCTTTCAGACTGGTCTCAGTGCCACAGCTTATCCTAGCTAAACTATGGCCTCTTGCTTGGACCAATGTCTGCACCAGAGATTCCTTGCATACTGAGTAAAGGTGGCCAAGAGGCAGAGAGGTTCATGGTGAGAGGAGGGAAGGAAGGCTTCCCTCCCCTGAGGGGAAAAGGCCAGAGGAAGCGTTTGAATGAGAGGTAAAAGGTTAATATTTAATATCATCATTATCATCAAAACTGGGAATAGAAAGGAAGGAGGATAAGAGAAGACAGCTAATATGGGAGGGAAAAGTCAGTGTAAAAGTGCCAGGAAAGGAGGGTTAAATGAACTGGTGTTGGGGTGCGGTGAAGATCCTATGCTATAAAATGCATGTGAAAGAGACTCCCATGCCTTCAGTTAGCAAATGTCTGTACTTAGCTTCATGGAAGCTGAGCTATGGAACTTCATGCCATGAAGAAAACGATGTGGGAAAGAATTCAGTCATTTCAACATGGAGTAGAAAATGATACCAGTAACTGTCAGCAGATTACGGTGAATTGCGCTGGGAGGAAGCAAATGCTATTGGTTCTGTGCTGTTCATAAGAACAGATTTTCATGAGACAAATAGTGACATGAATTAATTTTTTGGCTGCTTTTGTATAAATTAATCAGGGATTCCATGTAGGATTAATGTTTCTGCATACTTCAGTCCTCATAAAGATGAATATATGATGGATCAGCAGTCTAAACTCCAGAGTGGTATTAAATTTACTGAACAATTAAATTTATTGAAAATGCACCATTCTTTCATTTAGCATTTGTGTGGACTGAGATTAGGCAAGCATCATTCTGCTTCTTGAATTTCCTGGAGTATTTTTCCTCTCCGGTTACAAAAGCCATTCATGAAATGCCATGTTGTTCTGTGCTCAGTAATTCTGAATGAGTATCAGTGTTCTCATCCCAGAGTGGGAAAGCAGAGTTGTCTGTAGTTCGGAACATGTGATTCAGCTGGTAAACTGGGACTTGTTTTGTGTGTAGAGAGCTTTTATTGGTATTGAACAAGGAAAGAGATTCTGAAATAAATTTCCCAGAACAGTCTGAAAGCAAAGTATTTCCATCAGCCTCAAGACTGAAGGCTGCTTCACTGTTACTTTAACAAGAACTTTATAGACCCACACTGTGTATCTACTACAGCTAAAATGCTAGAAGTGGAACTGTTCCTTGCTCCTATGTCAAGCGTGTGCCAGTAAATGGAATGTGTGGAGCAACCTTGAGCTGAAACAATGTCAGCAGCATGGTATTGTTGAGTTAAGCTGCAAGTGAAGTAAAAGACAATCCACTGATTATCTTGTATTTGGAGTTGGGAGAGCAAAAGTTGACCTGTCAAATACACCTTGACATCAATAAGCGTTTGTGTAAGTGACACTCTACCTTTATGTTTGTGTCATCAGATGGCAGGAGTGGGACATAGCAGGAGTGGGACATTCCCTCTAGGGAAATATTGCCTATACTTATTGGCAGTATCTCTCCAGCATTTTAGCCAGGGTTTTAGCCCTACCTGGAGATATAGGGAATTAAACCAGGGATTTTCTGCATGCAAAACAAATGTTCCAACACTTAGGACATCTTCCAGCCCTTCCCATGCTTTCTAGCTATAGTGGAGTTTCATATGCCCTTGCCAATCATATAGCAGAAGTGATTCCCTGCTGTCTCTCAAGAAAGTTTCAGCCCCTTTTTTTTCTCAGTTATGCCCCGTGGCATGACTTTTCCTACTGACTATATATGCATTCTGCAGTTACAGGCATCTCTGAATTTAGCCAGGGTTCAGGAGCAGTGAGGAAGCCAATGTACAGTCCTCTCATCAGTGCAGGTTGCATGAGCCCGGAGGCCAGGACTGCCCTCAATTCTTGTTGGATTTCCAATATAGAGGAAAGGTCTCTGGAGAGTGGTCTGGAAAGTTTCTAGGAGAGATTTGTCTTCAAAAAAGCTGTGCTTCATTTTATGCTAATTGCAAAACGTATCTAAATACTTAACTACAGTACTATTTGACAGTATGCAATCTACAAATAGTTCATGACATTTAAAAACATTTTTTTTTAAAGTGGTGGAATACTAACCCAAATGTTTAAAGTCATAATCAGGGCTGACATTTCTAGTAGAAATAGCTGAACTGTATCTGAATTAGTTGTTTTCCCAGAACCAGTTTGGTGTCTCACCATGCATGTAGCACATCAGTGATGACTTAGATGGAACATGGAGAAGTGGGGTGGTGGTGAGGTGGTGGTTCTGTGCACTTGTGCACAAAGCTGTTTCCTCTTCTCTCCTCCTTGTTCTCTACACTAACCCAGCTGCTCTGCCCTTTGGCTCCCTACCCCTGCCAGTCTAGAGTGTTTGCGAATAAAGAGTGAAGAAGAAACCTCCTCCCTAGCCTGTTTGTCAAGTTGTTTGAACCCTATTCACAAAGGAAACTTAATACTTTTCTGAACCAAATCCCAGAATCCTGACAAATTATCCAATCTGCTTTACTATGTTGTATTTTTTTTTTTTTTAAAAAAATTGTAATAGATCCAAGTGAGTGTATTTGTAATCTGTAGGCCAGTGTTGGCAACAATGGAGAAGGAAGCAGCTGTATAACCAGCAACTGCCTGACCTTGATGTATTCATCAGCCACCATAAGCAAACACAAAGGGGTCATGGGGCTGTGCATGTACTTTGGTTCTTTAGTTCAAAGGGTTCCTTTTGTGTTGATCTTGGGAATTTCTTTTTTGGCACTAATTAAAATACCACAGACCTCTGCATTTTGAAACTGGGCTTCCTTTTCCTGCAAATGGTTTCCTGCAGGGAAAAGTGAGGATGTAAATTGATGTCTGTAGTTAATGATGGTCGAGATCATGGTGAGAGGAAAGGATAGTAGTCACTTTCTGCTCTTGTAATGTCTTGTAATAAGATATTAATTCCAATGCCACATAGCATTAACCCCCATGCATCCCTATCCATTGTGGTCTATGTCAGAAGTACGAAGCTACCCTAAAGATTACTCAGTAACAGTACTTTAAAAACAACAACCCACTATTTAATCTCATCATTAAATCCCCATGCCTCTTAAGTGAATGAGTCCACATAAAGAAGCATGCACTCCATTAGATTAATTTATCACCACACTAACAGGTAGTGAGAACGGGTATGGAAACATTGCCATAAAGAGAGGCTGTTGCGTAGGCAAGTGCTGATCTCAGCTTCTTCACTTCCTCTTCTGAAGTGGCTCAGGAAGAGAACCCCCATGCTTTCTTTGTTTACTGCAACACTACCCTATAGAGCATAGGAAGCTACCCAAATCAGGCACATTGGATCTCCAGGATTTCAGGTGGAATTTTCTCCCAACCCTCTTGGAAGATACCAGAGATTGAACCAGACACCTTCCACATGCAGAGCAGATGTTCTACCACTGAGCTACAGCCTTTCCTTGGCCCCTGCTTCTTTCAAGGCTGCTTTCTTGCCTTCTCACTTCCTTCACTTGGTATCCTCCTCTCTTCAACCCCATTCTGTCAATCCCAATGGAAGGAACCTCCCATTTCTCAAGTTCTCTTGTTGTTGTAAGTTGTTGTTGTATAGTAGTAAGGCAGTGCTGTAATAAGTAGCTCTCATGCTGTTTTCCCCCTCCCATGTCCTTCACAGTCACTTATTCCACTCACAACCAGCCAGTTGTGCTGGTTTTTGCACTCCTGCCTGTCCAGTATTTCATGACTCCTGTTTCCATGAGGTGACAGGATTTTATCTTACATTTTATTTCTATTTCCCCCCTCTGGTAGCTAATAACAAAGAAAACTTCATCATATGTTTCAGGCCCGGCGCAGAGATACTTTCATTGAAGAGCGCTATGGACAATACTACATTAATAATCCATTTACGGCTCTTCAGAGAGATTTTGAAGCACTGAATGAAGAGAATCGTGAGGATAAGCAGCCTGTTTGTACCAATCCCTTGTCCATCCTGAAGGTAGTGATGAAGCATTGCAAGAATATGCAAGAAAAAATGTTGTTCCAACTAGCTGCAGCAGAGAGCAGGCACAGAAAGGTGGGTTCCAAGACCTTTGTACTTTGATCAAATGAATAAAATTCTTCCTACTTAGCATTTGGTATTGCAGAGCAGTTTAATACTACATGTTGAACCACATTTTCTCCATCTTGATGTGACATTTTCAGTGTGTGACATTCATGGTTTTGCACATTTCCCAGTCTCAGCCATGTAGTTTAGCTGATTAAAATAGCAATGCAGTGCTAACAATCTTTTTATGAAGTTCCCAACAAGCACACTTCAATTAGTAAAGCACAAATACGTTGCTGTTGTTTTTTTATTGATGCTGCTATTGGAATGTAGAAAACTTTTCAGAACTCACCAAAGTCTTGTTATCATCCAGCTTCTCCTTTCCCTGTTGCACTGGATGTTCAGTTAACCTATTTTAGCGCTTTGACCTTAAAGTTTCTGCCCCCATAAGATGATAATTATCAATCTCTGGTTGCAGTTTGATCATAGGCAGCTTCAAATCTGCAGATATGTGCTTTCCCAATAATTACAAATATCCTAGAAAAACAGCTGCTGACAATTCTGAAAGGAAGCAACCACTTCCTTTTAGAACATTAACAAACTAGAACCTCTTTTGTTCAGTTATTGTCCTGCATTTTGGTCATTTCCCCAAGTTCATAATTTAGAAAGATGCAGATCAATCTTTTCCTTCCTCTCCAAATGGTCTTGAGTTGTAGACTAGCATGCCCTATTGTATGTTAATATATCTGCCCCAATCCTATAAAAAGAGTTGTCCAAATTGATTTGATTTACACCAGTTACACAGTTTCATAAACTCCAGAACAAACATGGGGGCTTGGGAGAAGCAGAAGCTTACACATTTTATCTCTTTTGCCATGGTCTAATTTCTAGTTGAGGAAGACCCATAAACTTGCATGTAGAAATGCCTGTTGTGCTGAAAAATGGGAAAAGAAAAATTGAGTGCTCTTTAGTTACTGGAAGAACAATATTGGCAGCAGTTAGATCTAGTTACAGCTGATAGAGACATGAGACAACATGGAACACCCCACTGGTTCAGCTGGGAACCAAGTGCTGTTTGGCTCCTCTTGGTTCTACTGAGAACTTGCTCTCAATTCTCAAAAACTCAATTCTACCTGGTCATGAAGTATTTTCTGTAACTGTAAAGAATTAGCATCTGAATTTGTTTGTTTTCCTGTTCCTTCTCTGTTCCACCATGAAGTGACACTTTAGCGTTGTTCAGAAGCCTTATGCTACTAGGTAAAGGTCAAAGATTCTGTATGTCTGTATTTTTGTGTGTTTTGCTTGAAATGTTGCTTTAGGCAGAAAGGGGCCTGGCCTGTACATCTGGATACATTTGTAATTGATGCTGTATTTAAAGGTGATTGATGGTGTTCTTCTTCTGGTCTGAAAGGTAATCTTGGATCTTGAGGAAGAGAGGCGGCGGCATGCCCAAGATACTGCTGAAGGAGATGATGTCACATACATGCTGGAAAAGGAACGAGAGCGGCTCGCACAACAGGTATGCCTTCTCACTAGTTAGTCAGCTCTTGGAGAGGAATGATTAATTGCTGCTTAGCACAGAAAACATGCCTTGTATGGGTGGGGAAACTGATGGCTAGCATTGGTATTTGTGTATTTGAGAGCCTCATTCTCCACTGCCAGGGAGAGACTAGACTTACTAGAGTGAGATTTTTGTCCAGTGTGTGAAAGTAGCCTGCAGAAGCAAGAGATGTAATAACATTTGAGCATAAAAGGAAATCATGTTTCTAAGAAGAGGTTTATTTCCAATGCAAATTGCAAGTCGCAGCAGGGAGACTCTAAATGGGGCTGCAGTGGGAAGCACATGCCTGCAGTTTGGCACTGGGACTTTCTTCCATTACCATGCCACTAATTTCCTCACCCACACAAGGCAAATAGTAGATGCACAATGGAACTGGTGTGTGTAAGGGTTGGGGAATGGATGGGAGAGAACATGTGGGTAACCACAAATTTATTTATTTTTTTTTTTTGCTCCACACTTGCACACCATAGGTATGAGACCCTTGCCATGATTATGCCTGAGGGAATGTGGCTATCAGTTGGCGGGGGGTGGGGTGGAATAAAAGGTCCCCACCCCTAATCTACATTATGTTGACTTTACACCGTATGGTTAATGTGTGTACTCCTTAATCTGGTCATTTTCTGTGCACACATTAAGCTGGGAGTGCAGACTGCTCATGAATCTTAATTTTTATCTACAGTGATCCTTACATCCATCCACTCACTAACTGATATGACTGCCTTTGAGAATCTTTGTGTGTGCGGAGTGTGCACAAAACTATTTTTTACTTACTCCCCCCCCCCTCTGAGCTTCTTTACCTTCCTTTTATAGCTGGAATTTGAGAAGTCGCAGGCGAAGAAGTTTGAGAGAGAGCAGAAGAAGCTATTGGACCAGTTGGAGGAGGAGCATGACCGCCAGCAGCAGCTTTCTGCCATGCTTGTGTTGGAGTGCAAGAAAGCCACAGCCAAAGCCGCAGAGGAAGGACAGAAGCTTGGGGAGCTGAGGCTGAAGCTAGCTGAGGAAAGAAGCAAAGTAAGCCACTTGGAGGGAGAGCTAGCAGCCCAGAAGAAGAGAGGCTTGCAAATGGAGGCGCGAGTGGAGAAGCAGCTGTCCGAGTTTGACACTGAACGGGAGCAGCTGAGAGCCAAGCTGGTTCGGGAAGAGAATCGCACCAAGGCCCTGAAGGAAGAAGTAGAGAATCTGAAGACAACTCTAAAAGAATTAGAGGCCTCGTATAAAGCTGGGAGAGGCAAAGCAGAGCACACGCCACCAAAGATCTCAAAGGTATCCACAGCAACTGCCACAGAGGGCTCAAGTAGGTCAGTCACTTGCCAGACAGAAAGCCCCTGGACAGAGAGCCTCAGCCAGGGAAGTACTATTCGACGGGCACCTATATTATCGCCTATCTCTGCCACTGCTTCCCACTCTTATATCAAGGCAAATGGGCACTGTGATGCTCATGTACAAGCAAGTATGGAGCCAGCTCTGCCCAAGGATGAGCCGATTGGACCAGCAGCTGAGAGGGCCACAGAAATTAGCAGCTCCCCAGCGAGAACAGTTTCCCTTTCGCCTTCAACCCCACCAGTCCCTTCCAGTGGGATATTCTTTTCTCCGAGCAACACAGCTTCTTCATCTCTGACACCCTCCCCATGTTCCTCCCCAGTGATGACTAAACGTTTGGTTGGAGCATCAGTCAGCAGCCCCAGCTACCAATCTTCGTACCAAGTGGGGATCAACCAGCGCTTCCATGCGGCACGTCACAAATTCCAATCCCAATCTGATCAAGATCACCAGCCAAGCGGTCTCCAAAGCCCTCCATCTAGGGATCTGTCACCCACCCTGGTGGATAATTCTGCCGCAAAGCAGATTGCCCGTAATACAGTCACTCAGGTTCTCTCCAGGTTCACCAGCCAGCAGGGTCCCATCAAGCCGGTTTCTCCCAACAGCTCCCCCTTTGGCACAGACTACCGAAGCCTGGCCACTCCCCTGAGCCCCAAAAGTGAGTGTGGCCCAGGCAAGGTCTCTGGCCCATTGAGTCCACTGTCACCTGGAATTAAATCACCAACCATACCCAGAGGAGAAAGAGGGAACCCTCCACCAATTCCTCCCAAGAAACCTGGACTGACTCCTTCTCCAGCCAGTCCCACTCCACCAACTAAAACCTCCTCTCAGGCATCTTCTCTGGGTTCTCCTATGGACTTGGCAAGTAGCTGCTCAAGCAATCCTGTTGTAGCCAATGGGAAAGAAATTGAGATCTTATTGCCAACCAGTAGCTAGCTTCCAAAAGTGTTGCATTCCAAACGTTTGCCATTCCTGAAGCTGAAACAGCTGCTACACTGTCTTATCAACTTTACGTTATTTATTATTTGGCTAGTAACAAGATCTGTTTGTATAGCACGTTTAGTGTACTTTTCCTTTTGATTTATGGTATATAGAAAATAACACAACTTGTGTACAAACCTTTAAACACTAGATCTTCGAGGTGTCTTAACGGCAGCAGGCACATCAAACAAGCAGAGAAGCAGTTGATTTCCTGTGCTGGGAGCTGACCAGTGGACTATGACAGTGAAGCAGTTGCTTTTAAATCATGAAACCAAAATACACTCCATGCAGACTTCCATTCCAGACAGACGTTTCCTAAGAAGTGCCTGAGCTTAAGCTGCACTGCAGCCATGCATGTGTTTCTCTGCAAAACCAGAAGTGATTGTCCAATTGAAGCAAGCCCAGATTCCTCTCTGAATCATGAATGTTGAAATACCGTAACCACTGTCCTTAATCCTTTCCAGTAGTTCTGTTATCAGCAGAAATGAAATGTTCCAGAGGCCGGCCAATTGTTTCCCTCTTAGGAACAAAGTCAGTTATGTTGCTGCACTGTCAGGCACATTTGGCCTTAATAGGGAGTTTTGTACATCCTGAGCTTTTTCTATGTGACCATGTAAACATAAAAGGGGAGGGGGATTTAAGCAATCAGGTTGCCATTTCCCCCGTCAAGTACTCATTTCTTTTTATATGTAGAGAGAGAAAATAGGTGAGATTAAATCTGGAAGTGTTCCACTAGTTTTTAAAAATATTTTTCACATATTTTGCTGTTTTGTATGTAGAACCTCTGAGAGCAGAATCTTCTGAGATAATGATCTTAACATTACTTGAAATGAGAAGTGGTTAGTCAGTTCTTTGCATGTTTTAGCACTGGAAAGATAGGGATCCGTGCTAGATGATTCAAAGCAGTAACGTTGGGTTGTATCCAGCTAAGTTTTTCTCAAAGTAAACCCATGGAAATTAATGATGCTTGCAAAAGTCATCCCTCCCTGGGAAAAGTATAGCATTTTCAAAAGTTGTGTGTGCTGCAAGGAGAAAAGGAAATTTCTCCGTCATCTACACAAACACAAAGTATTTCTTTTTCTCTCAAGATCCTCAGGGAGCCAGAAACATTGTGTGGTGTTGGTGACTTGCAGTTCTTGCTCTGCCCACCAGCAGCTCTGGTCACACTGACATCTGGACCTCTGCAAAGGTCCCTCCCTGGTGGGGAGGTTGTCTTCTCCTGCACTGGACACGAGGTCTTGATGCTGCTTCAAGACTCCACTATCTCCTACTCTAAACTTTATTTCTAAGCTATATTGAAGTATTTTAGCAAAGTGACTGATATTTCTGAGACTAGGAGGCCATACCACTTGACCATATACCTCTTAAATTTTAATCAGCGTACCGTAATTTCAGTTGGCTGCCCCTACACTAACAGTACTCCAGAATGTCTTATAGAGAACTAGGAAAGCACACAAACAGTCCATTTGTGCAGTACAAGTTTCTGAATATGGTCTGTGCAGCTGCATACTGGGTGAATGGTTTCTTATTGGTATCTCTGTGAATCATGAACTATAAGGGCATTGTAGCAGCCCTTAAAATCTTTCCTTGGAATTAGACTAACTTGTATCTTGATATGATAGAGATTTATAAATAATAATATTATTAGGAAAATGCACAGAGTATTGTAGTCTACAGTGGATGGTGGGAAGGGAGAAGGCAAGAGGAGATTTATATTTTTGCCAGTAGTCTGTCTTCAGAGATTAAGCTAAACACAACTATTAAAATGTTCCCAGCTAATCCAGTAAGACATCTAGCGTTAGTATAGCGGTTTTCTATAGACCTGAGTGTATGCAGGAAAAAACCAACATGTTTATTCTTCTCAGAATCCTGTATCGCTGGAGAAGTTCCTGGATAATAATGATGATAATATATTTTAATGAAGTCAAAACTGCATAATCTAGTATTATCATTAACACTGGTATATTTGTAAAGTCAATTGTATGAAGCACAGTCTTTTTACCATTTTTATAATTGGCAGCATTAAACACTTCAAATGTTCACACTATCAACAAAGGGTTATATTTTTATGATGTGAATATTGTGCAAAAACATGTTTGAGAAGTAGGTTGGGCTGCTTGTATCATGAAATGTTTTTACTGGATAGCTATGAAGCATTTGCTAGCAATTTGTAGGCATTTTGTTAGCTGTAGTATGTCTGAAAGACATATATAAAAATGTGCAAACACTTCCAGTAGCTGGCAATAGCAGGGACAAAGCTTTTAAAACAAAAATAAGAAACTCCCTACTACTTGGTAGGAATGCTGCCAGTATTTGCCACCACTTCTGGGCAGTTTAGTCTTTACTCTTCAGAGTTCTTTAGGGTGGATTATACCAACATCCATGCCAACCATTGCCATGCAACATAACATTATGATGTGATGGCACCTCTCCAGCCAGCTTTTGGGTAGGGAACCACACCTCTTCATTTCCGCTGCACCTTCTGATTCCTCAGTCTTGCATCATGCAGCAGTGAGCCAGCACCCTTGGGAAATATGTATGCATTTGTAAGAGGGTGCATTAGGTACATACCTTAAAGATTATCTGCAACTTTGGTACATCTGAGATTGCAACCAACGACACAAATTTCTGTACAGAACTTTTTGTGCTTAGGTGCCAGCACTTGGCAGAGGATATGGGCACTTGGTCAGCTCATTTCCACCTATTTGATCACACTTCTGCATATAACCTGATTCTTTTTCCACTTCTGGGGGTGGAGTCAGACTTTGCATAAGGCAAAGTCCTCTCCCTGGTCTGGAATGTTGCAAAACAATCCGTACAACATCAAAAGCCTGTTAAGGTTCCACCCACCACTTTCTACCATCCAGCACTCAAATCTATGAAGGTATTAATCTCACCTGTGGCAATCTACTTAACCCAGCCCATTTTCTAGAGCTATGACTCCTAGGAGCCTTAGAGTAACTCTGCAACCTGCTTTGAAACTATGGGAATAGAAGCAAAGAGACGATTGCCGACAGAGCATCTCTATGCTGCTGCCTTATTTTGTTTGGTCTCTTGCAGCTCACATACAGGATTTTTTTTCTTCACAGACAATTACTCAAGAGAAAGGGGGAGGGGGAGTTTAGTCCAAAGTCTTCTTTCCTTACACTAAGAAGAAAACAGTGTCTGCACTGTCCCGGAAGCCAGAGTCTGAGACTTTGAACTAATTCTTTTTTACTGGATGATGGGACAAGTTAAAAATATATTTATGACTAGGAAAATTCCAGTCTTCTGACTCTTTCTTAGACTTCTTGCACTATGACCATGGGATGATGTGGTTAGAGTGTCAGACTTGGGGAACCTATGTTCAAATCCCTATTTGGTCTTGAAACTCACTGGATAACTGGCTGAGAATATGTAACTCACCCAAACTTACATCAGAGGGTTGTTGGGAAGATAAAATTAGCAGAGGTTACTTCCTACTGCAGTTACTCTCTTCATTGTTAGAGCAGAGTCTTGATTTGTGCAGCAACTTGTCTGCAGCTCTGAGAGCCATAATTTTCCAGTCCAGGAGTGTTCAAAAATAATTCTCTTATGCCACCTTGTGTTGTGAATAATACATGCTTCTCTGTTGACTCTGGCAGACATATATTCTTGCAACTTTTAAAATGAGGGGATTGAAAGGCACGCTTGGATTTAGGCTTATCTCTTGAATGTTATTTCTCCAGGTGACTGGTATTTTTCTTAATTCAGTAGAATTTCCACCTCAGTAGGTCCTCCCCCCCCCCCCTTGCAGAGCTACCAACATATAGGAGAAAGATTACAGCATTTGGGACTTTTTAGTTTAGAGAAATGGCAAGGAAGCAGTAACTGGATTAAAGTTTTTCAACTTCTATAGACAAAGTGGTTAGAGAAAAGTTATTTTCCATCTTGGTGTAGTGGTTAAGAGCGGTAGTCTAGTAATCTGGGGAACCGGGTTCGCATCTCCGCTCCTCCACATGCAGCTGCTGGGTGACCTTGGGCCAGTCACACTTCTTTGAAGTCTCTCAGCCCCACTCACCTCACAGAGTGTTTGTTGTGGGGGAGGAAGGGAAAGGAGAATGTTAGCCGCTTTGAGACTCCTGAAGGGGAGTGAAAGGCGGGATATCCAATCCAAACTCTTCTTCTTCTTCTTCTTCATCTCTCAACACTAGAACCCACGGACATTCAATGAAGTTGATTATGATGAATACAGACCACATAGGCATAGAATTGGCATAAACACACAAAAAATATTCATTGCACATTCTGAGCAGCTAGAAAATTTTCTAGCTTACTAAAATACAAGTTGCCTGACTGCACTGGAGGAATTAGGTTACAGCTCCCCAAACAAGCAAAGAAGCTATGGGTTTAATCAATGAGGCACAGCAGAGACTGTGGTTGTCTTTGGGATATATTATTTACTTACACATTTATACAACTGGGGCTTATCATAGAAGGGTTCACAGCATTGACACCCGAAAGGGGTCTTGCTTTTCCCATAGCCGCAGCCTTGGATTAAAGCAGAAATCAGCCATGCCTCGCTCTCTGCCTTTCCAACCTGCAGCTTTTCCCTCTAGGTCACATCACAGCAAACTCTGCTCTAAAACTCAGGTTTTGTCCTTTTAGCTGAGAGATGGAGGAAGGCCCTCACCCATTTGCTGTGCCAGAGTCCCCTCTCCTTTGCTCTCTTAATGGCCCATCACCTTTCCTTTGTTCTTCTGAATGGTCCATCATCCCGAGTGGTTACCACATCAGGAAACTAGCCTGGCTTATGTTTTAACACTTGCTGGGTCCAGGAGTTAGAAAGTCTGGCACCCACAAACAATACATTGTTAGAGCCCAACCCCTATCAGCCCTACCTAGCATGGTCAATGACCAGCGGTGGTGAGTTTTGGTCCAGCTGCATCTCCTCATCCTTGTTGGTATGTTCTGTATCCAGGCCCAGGTCGTGAGCCACATCTTGCCCCTGAACAGGTGAAGACTTTGCCTGTGTACCTGTACCAGGAGTATGACAGAGCCTGTCCTCTTTATTCTTGAGTTGGAAGAAGGAGGGAGCAGGTTAGTGGAAAGGGGGTGACAACTTGAATAAAATAGGGGGGGCAGTTAAGCCCCACCATGCATAATCGATCACAATACATGACATGCACACACTGTTTGAATGGCAATGCCCATCAACTGGGGCAGTAGCCCCCTTAAATATTTTAATGGGGAGGCTGAAGGGACCTTGGTCCCTAGACGTTGGCTCCTAAGGAAAGGGGTGCTAAGCATACAGTCTACAAGATGAGAGTGGAATAGGATCCTTGGGAGTCAAGAACAGAAGCTCAATCTGCCCAGATCTGGCGGGTGCTAGAGAGACAGCTGAGGAGTTAGCATTGGATCAAGGAGGGAGTAGAAACTTGTGGGGAGTGCAGAGGGTGAAATAATGTTGGAGGCTGTGGGTCTTGTGGCTCTAGGTCATAGGAAGTTCTCAGAGGGATTAGGAAACTGACTGGCCTAGTATTTGGCAGTCTGTAGCATTTGTGACTCATGATTTCGTGAAAATTACAACCTTTAAACCAGACTTACAGAATGTTCCTTGCTCTGCAGAGCTGCCTGTTGGAAACTTCAGCCAAAGGAAATATTGGTTGCTGAAAGGCACTTTCCCTGAATACGTTGACATTGCCCATTCTGCCACAGTGGACCCTCCTGCCAGTTTATTAATTGAAACCTGCTATGACTTCTAGAACAATGGCGCTAATCATGAGCTTTCTGATGAAAACTTGCTCTGGAAACATTTTCATGGCTTATCCACCAGAGAGCAGCCTTTCCATATCAATTCACTCGCATGGCCAAATTTTGCTTAGGGTCCCTTCCAACCACAGTATATGATTCCAACTGATCACTGCTCAGTCCTCTAACCAAATGCCAGTGGCCAAAAAGAGTTGACTATTTGAAATGTTTGTTTTATTTTATTTCAGAATGTATAAAGTATTCTTCATATAGAGAAGACCCGAGTAATATACAGAAATAGAATATAAAACATGGTGTATGTCATAAAATAGTATTAAAACACAGAAACAGACAAGAATTTAAAAGTGCAGAAATAAAATTGACTAATCTGGGTAAGCTTGGGACAAAATAAAGGTTTTCAACAAATGTTGATAATTGATAACAGTGTTGGCACTTGCTTCACTTGGAGGGGAGGAGAAATTTCAGAGCGCCTTGTTGTCCCATAGTCAAGTCACAACATGCTTACTGCAGGGGCGTGAATGGGGCCTTTGGGACCTGAGTGTGCTGTTGACAGCTTTTAGGATACTCCAGAAGAGAATAATTTTTCCTTGGCAGCAAGTAACAGAGCAATCACTTGCAACTAGCAGAAGCGAGAATTAAGTTGGCCATTTCTGGGGTTTGCATTTGAGATTACTGGTGCCTTACTATGGGATAAATTGACTTATTATTATTATTATTATTGTTACATATTTATTTATACTCTGCCTTTTGCCCCCTGAAGGGACTCAAGGTAGCTTACAGATAAAAACACAGAAAAACCAATCATTAAAATACAATTAAACATTGATAGAATTAAAGCTACATACATACATACATACAAAGTAAAGGTAAAGGGACCGCTGACCTTTTGGTCCTGTTGTGGCTGACTCTGGGGTTGTGGCGTTCATCTCGCTTTACTGGCCGAGGGATCCGGCATACAGCTTCCAGGTCATGTGGCCAGCATGACTAAGCCGCTTCTGGCGAACCAGAGCAGTGCACGGAAACACCGTTTACCTTCCCGCTGGAGCGATACCTATTTATCTACTTGCACTTTGACATGCTTTCGAACTGCTAGGTGGGCAGGAGCAGGGACCGAGCAATGGGAGCTCACCCCATTTACATTTTTAAAATCTATTTAAAACATACCAAGATTTCAATAAAAACAGTACAGCACCAGGTCTCTCATTAAAAGCAGTCAGTTCTGAAAAGCCTGTTGGAGTAGAAAGGTCTTCACCTGCCGGCAGGAGAACGACAAGGAGGGAGCCAGTGTAGCTTCTCTAGGGAAGGAGTACCAAAGCC